GTTTTTCTTTTTCTTTTTTAACTTGTGGAAACCCCCTCGGGCCGTCACCTTAACGGTGTTTGCGGCGGGGTTGTATGTCAGAATCGGACCGACTAAAACCACGGGGGGTGTCACTCACTATGTGTTAACATATTCGGTCTTCACTTAGCCACGAGCCATATGAAAGGAGAAATATTTGTATAACATACACATTAACAGTTACAAATACCATACAATTGGACTATCCAGCGAGCTCGTCCAGCGCAACCCCACAAATGCAAGTTAACAAGATTATTGAGACAACCAAACTTGGCAATAATAACAATGGTATCTATAATTAGGCTTCACGAAACATAAACAAGGATGGTGTTTATGTGATTATATTTTTATCTTCTTTTGTAGGTTTTAACGAGTATTAATATTAAGCAGTTCGTTTGTTGATTTTTACCGAAATAGTGACGGATTAAGAATACGAAGTATCACCACCCTTAAAGGAACGCAGCACAACGCAGCACTACGCAGGACAACAGCACTGCAAAGAGACGGAAAACTTGACACAAACCCTATACCAACCCGTCTGGCCGGCGTGGTGCAGTAGGCCAAAACCTCCTTTCTAAGGAAAGGCCTATGAGCAGCAGTCGACTATTAAAGGCTGTTGATATGACGATGATATCTGTTGAAGTCAGTGGGACCACAACGACAATAACAAGGCTAACAGGCATAATTGAGCTGCTTCTATTATACATTGGATTTACAAGACATAATTATTTTTACGATTTACCAGGCTTTGGACAATAGCGAGTGTGGACGGGCTAGGCCCAAAGTTTGGTTCCAAACATTTTTACATATTTATAAAATTGCTATTACTGAGCACACTCCGACGTTAAAAAAATAATATAGTTTTAAAAAACTAAAAAAAAAAGCGTTGGGTGCCTTGCCTAGTCGATAGTAAAAAGCACCCCACGCTTTTTTTTATTTTTTAGTTTGGTTTTCTATAGAAAGCGAGTTTTTTAGTTTTTTAAAACTATAACTTTTCTTTATGTTTTTTTTTTAAATTAGTGTATTGTCATCGGTCCTCGATATATCTACAAAGTTTGAAGGAATTCTGACCGTTTAAAATCAGTCAAAATCACGCCCAAAGGAGTCGGTTACAAACATACAAACAAACATACAAGTGAAGCTAATATAATGCGTGTAAAAATGAGTACAGGATTTATAAATATTAGAAGCATGGCAGTGTACGGCAACCGGCGCGTACGCATTTACGCTCTAATTCTAAAACACAATGTTATCAAACGCGCGGGTTGACAAACGATGCGCGAGCGCACCGGTTGTTTGATTTATTCAACACAGCTATTGGTGTTTGCGGTACATTTTGGATCAACATTGATTTATCCAATCGATTACTTCCATGGATTATTGCAAATGCTTTGACGAAATACTCCTTAGGTGAATCGCATTAAGTAACTAGATCATAGACTTAATAATAATAACCTTATACATCTCACGCACGGCCATCTTTTTTGTTCTTCTTGTTTTTTTAAAAGACTACGCCAGCATTAGAAATATATTTTGTGTCGCGGGGAACTTTATAAACATACATGAAACAGGCACAAAAACACCCAGACTCAGAACAACAATTTGTGGGTCACACCAAGTGTCGTCACATGTGGGGTTTGAACCCACAACACTTGGCGCAGTAGGAAGCGTCGTGGCGACCGCTTAAACCACTACGCCATCCGCGCAGTCCTAACCTACGCTAGGCTAATCCTAAACTAGGCTGAGCCTGTACTATGGTGACTAAACTGCTGATACAAATACTTAGTCCTGGGTGGGAATCGAACCCACGACCTCTGGCTTAACAGCCAGGATTACTGACCACTTGACCAACAGGTCTATCAATTAATTACTTGTGAATGTAAGTAAATTAACAAATCAAATTAGGTATCTTGATCTTGTAACAGAATGTTGATTATTAACTACAAAAATAACTTTGATATCCACTGCTGCTGCTGCTGGACATAAGCCTCTCCGTAGAAAGGAGGTTTTGGCCTACTATACCATGCTGGCCATACGGGTTGGTATAGGGTTTGTGTCAAGTTTTCCTTCTTCTTGCAGTGCTGGTGTCCTGCGTTGTTTTGCGCCCTTAGTCGGTTTTTACGCACCCACGGGATGAATAGGGGTGTTGACACTCTGTATTCTTAATCCGTCACAACTTTGATATAAGTACTTATTATTCGTATTCGTTTAAAATAAATTTATTTTTTTTGTTTAGGGGGGGGGGGGAGGGGCAAACCAGCAGTCTGGTGAACTGATGGTAATTGAATACCGCCGCCCATGGACAGTGAACCTGGGTCCGAGAAAGCATTCAATCTGGATATGACAGTGAGGATGTTTTTGACTCTGGAACCCTTTCAGCGACATAAACCTCCTCACTCTCGTTCTAGAGACACAAACCTCTAGAACCGTACCACTGTCATATCAAGGTTCCTGCTTTCTCAGTTCTGTCTAACGTGTGCATTTTAAGGTCGTGTACTTCGTGAAAATATGGTCTAATTCTATTTAATTTTAAAAAAGATATTTTATTTCCGTAATTTAGTAGCTAACTTGCATAATCGAATTTTTTTTCTATACGGAAATTATTTAATGAGGTAACTAGCTCGTGTTGAAAAACTTGCTTTAAATGTTACTATACAAAATAATGTTTAGTTTTCTAAATCATCATCAACAGCCTTTAATAGTACACTGCTGGACATAGGCCTCTCCTTAGAAAGGAGGTTCTAAATGAATGGTTTTTATTGTATGATATTGTCGAAGTATGAATGTTTCATCATCTACAGATATCAGTCATGCACACAACCGGGATTAGGTAGTAGTTTCAATCATGTGGATCTGGTGAATCCTCACCTCAACCTTAAAAATTATGCGGGTTCCTTGAATTTGGGCTCCGGTAACTGAACACACTCGGTAAAAAACAACGAAAGAACTGCATAACTCCGGTTTTATGTAAGGCCGTGATATCACTCCTGTCAGACCTATCTCCCATGGTAGGTGATAGATAGCTACATAGCTTTATTTAATTTCCAGATTGACCAAAATTAGAAATTTCTTGTTTCTATGTCTTATATTCTGTAAACAGTATTTGTAATTTGTTTTTGTTTTGTAAGTTTTTTTAAGTAATGTCATGTATCTAATTAGTTGTAACTCTTCGATTAATTTGTACCCACTTAATGAATATGTACGCTGCTCACGGTAAAGCATGTTGTACTATACTAAACATCTTCAAACACTTCTCCATTTAAAATATGTATGTTTAACAAATAAATTATTATTATTTTGGGTTTTAATTTTTATTTTCTCAGCTATTTAGCTGGTCGCACCGTATTTACGGCTCTTTTTTTTCCGTACGGAAATCCCCTCGGGTACCACCTATCGCTGGCATGTCGGACTCGAACCGACTAAAACCGCACGCCGTCTCGGGTACTAATAGCCGGGGAACCAGGTATACCCTAGAAAGGAAGTCCCTGGTGCCCCGACATACCTCGGGCTATCTATAACAAGTAGACGACCCCCCCGTGTGGGAACCCCATGTTCCCTCTGCTCCCTGGAAGCGAGCGCGCTTCGCAACGCGCTCGCCGCCACCCCGGCCTGCTTCTGCTAGGGTGACAGATGGCCTCACCTGTCACCCCCAAGCCTGCGCTTATGGAGGACGGAGGTCGTTCTGCGACTTTTCATCTAACTTTATAATGTGAATGTGATTTGATTTGATTGTATATTTATTACACTATCATATCTTAAATAAAAAACAACTGATTCTCATGAAATATTGTTTTTACCTTGTCTACGGCAAATCTTAAATAAGTAGACAATGACTGTTAAGTTCGTTTTGTATCAAATCACAGTTTTTTTTCCGGGATCTATATAAGACTATCCGCCAGTGCAGTCTTATATAGATCCCATTTGTCACAGAATTTCGAGCAAAAATCACGCGGTAAAATATCGCTGTGCGGATGGGGCCCAAAGGATTAAAAAATAACTTAAAACGTGAAATCGGACGTAATACACAAAGATTTACTGAAATACTGATTAATTTATTGATTTACTTATTTGATGATTTTAGATTTACTACGGATATACATTTTTTTTTATAATTACATACAAATTTATGGACATATGAACACCCAGACAAATATACAAATAATTATTGAACCGAGCGGAAACGTCTGCCAACATAAGCCGTCGAATAACTGTAGGTAGGTACTATTACTGCCACAAATACATATTTGTTACAATCAACATACATATGTTGATTTGAAAACTTTATAACTCGACAAGTGAAACCAGAGGTAAAAAAATCTGACCCATAGTGCATTTGAAAACAAATTGGTAAAAAAATAAGACATTGATAATAAACTATATTATAATTCATTTTGGTTTTTAAATATTAAAATATCATACCAGCGATACTGGCAATCTGATGCAAAAAAAAGTAAGCGGCAATGAAGCCTTAAAACTATCCATGTACTTTAATCACAATGCCAGTGCCTCACAATTTTTTTTTTATTCAAATTCTTTGTTATTACAACGGCTTCCCGCGCAATCATAAGTTCTCATTGTAAAAAAAAAAAAACAGCGCGAAGTAACTCGGCTAGCGATGCAAAAAAATATCATTTTCATTTAGTTACATATTAGTTTTTATTATTGTATGATTACTTGATGGCAATAATAACATTACATACTAATTTGTTGAAATTATGAGAAATACTATTGTAAGTATTGCGTATTAATCTCACGATAATAACCATAAAACATTTTTGTCATACTTTTGTCATATGCTCTTCAAGGTCCAGCAATGCATAACCGTTTAACTTCGACCTGCGTTTCTTTTTAACTATTAAAAGCATTAAGCCTTTTTAAGCATCATCTTCATTATTTTTTTGTTAACGATTCATAAAATATTTGAACTCACTCAACTGCTTTGCAAAAGTACAGTTATTTGATTAAAAAAATAACTATCTTACCTTTTATATCCACAGGGCTGAATACAGACGAACTAAGACATCAATATCTGAAATTAAACGAAAAAGAAATATAAAAAACAAGAAAAAGAAACAAAAAAAAAAGAAATATTTAAAGGTATTTTATTTTGTTTTTTTTTATATTGGATTTTACTATGAATCGCGATTATTCCTATTAATTACTAATAACTAGGTGAATTTTATTCAAAGTTAGAATGTCTACCAGTGGTATTTTTTTTAAATGGTAATCATTAAATAATTTACCTAAAAGGTACGCTCTTAGAGTATTATTTTTTATCATTGTTGGTTGGTTAAGTTGGTAAACATATAACAATAGCAACACACAACTAGTCGACCAAGATATTACATAAAATTAGCATGAATATCAGACCATGTACTGAAGCGTGAAGTCCGTTACACACATAGGTATACAAACTCCTTTCTTGCGTGTATCAACAACATAACATTATTGCATAAGAGCTAGATAAATAGGTACTTTACTATTCTAAGTAAGCAAATAGATACATGACTATATTTAATTGATAATAGTGTTACTTAAGCTCTTTGTATCTTAGGTATTCATGATGTACATACGTATATTCAAACACTAAAGCCAGTGTTGATAGAACAATAAATGCGTGGAGTGCTAGATCTCAATTGTTGTAAAATATTTTATTGACAGATATATATTATAAAATATCTTGGATACAAAAAGCGTAAAAAGTGTGGGGTGTTTCCACGCTTTTTAACGATAAATTTCTTCTCCTTCTTTTTTTTGAACTTATTGAGATTATTTTTTAGTTGGGATAGTTACAAAATCGTGTTCATTCGTTTTTTTTTAACTATAATTTATTTTTGCTTTTTTAGTCATTAATGATGGTTATTTTCTCGTTAAGACTAAAAAAGGCAGACGCCTCTTAGTACGTAGTTAGAGATACTACCGTATTTTTAAGTATGGAAAAAGCCGTTATCCTGTAAATTCTGATCAGGATAATCTGCCAAATCTATCAAATTATTGTAAAGTCATCCGTTCTTGATAAGTGTGCGAAGTTTCAATTGAATTCGACGTTTTGAAGTGGGTCAAAATCATGTTCGAGGATTCTGTTACATACATGACATACATACATAGGTACATAGCAAGCTGAAACAAGCGTGTTAAAAAATAACTTAAAATATTTCACCCATTGAACTATACCTCTTTATAACTTTAAGTTTTAAATACGAATCGAAAAGATGTGTTGAATGCCAAAAGCGAATACGGAAGCTACACTTTATAAACCTTATGATTTATTTATAACAACACTCATGGACTACTTCTAGTGTAATTTAAACAAATCTCACGTTCTGAGTCAAGTAAGAATATACCAAACAAGAATTCGCAATTCGCGCCTTCCGAGCCTAGCCCGGTGGGTGTCTACCCAACGCATAATAAGTTGTTACTTGATCATGAATGTTGGTGCGGTAACTTTAGAACATTGATAACTTTTTAAAATTCTAGAAGCGATGGAGTTATGTGCTAGTTGAGCCTATACTCTATCTATATTATGTGATAGTGTGGCAGAGATAAATTAGTTATTGTTTTGTTTTTAATGTCAACAAGAAAAGTTTGCGATATAACAAACAGTATTGATGGAATAAAAACTTTTTTATCAACGACAACGGAAACGCTACACAGCACAGCGCAATTGAATTCGATAAATAAGCTGTTGCTGCAATGGGTAAACGTTTAATTTTAAACTTGAAGTTTTATTAATGTGTAGGTACGATTTTAAATTTCTTTATTATTTATTTAATTACTAAATTGACAAGGATTTTACGTTATGCCTATGTATTTCACTTTCATTGATTTTTCGTTTTTTAGCCTTTTCGTCAATAGAAACAATAAACATTCTTGACCGAGACGTTAGGCGTCAATAGTTTCTTTGTTGACGTAAATTTTGCGGTTGTTTCTCTGGATAACTAGCTGTACCCTGCCACGCTTAACTGTGGCATATTGTGTTTGATGAGAAGTGAGCAGCGAAACTTACTTTTCAAGTTTTTGAAGCATACTTACTTAACATTTTTATTTATTTAGATAACTAGCTGTACCCTGCCCGGGACATGTACATATAGTTCATGAGAAGTGAGCAACGAAACTTACTTCTTTATTTATATACTATAGCATTTCTAGTATAGTTTATAACTATCTAATAAAAAAAAACACTGGTTTCATCTACTCTGGTAACCATGGTAATTATTATTATTAACTGCCCAAATAAATTTACCGATGAAAAGTCTTTTATGGAAATCAATTCAGTAGTAAATTTGCAGTAAAAGGTTTTTTTTTTATTTTTTTTTTACTATTATTAAAAGGACTTTGTCGCTGAGCGACTACATCGTCCCATATGGACAGCCACCAATACCGTGAAACATGAGTATCCATGACTTAAAACTACATTATTGTATACTTAAACCTAAATCAGCCAGTTTAATTAACTAGTAAAAGGTTTTAATTCTTAGACCAGCACTGGAAGTGAGACTATTGAAAGGAAAAGTTTACTTGATAAAGAATTTTCATTGTCCTGTACATTTCCCAATATTGTTTGGGGTCCTCGCAAGTTGTCACATTGCAAAGAATCTTGGCTAGTGTGGTATGTAATGACGTATATATTTCCATCATGAAGGCACCATTAATGGTTATGAACTGGTTATAACGGGAGGCGTGCAATATCGTTCGCAATAATTATAAAAAGTCTGCGGTACTTCTTAACCGATATGATATGAATTTTCAAGAAAAAAACTTTAAATCGAGTGTATTACCAGTCTTTGAGGCCGGCTTAAAGATTTGCAGGAGTCCAATGGTGACCCGTGTGTCTTTTCGCCCTCTCCTCAAAAAATATAAAGTTTTAAATACCTTCCCCTACGCGTAATTAACATGTTTTCTTTTTAAATAAACACTCATTAAAAGTGACATTTGTGTCCATTCTAGTCAATTTAAACTTTGTGTTTGTGAAGTCAACTCGGCACTGGAATTTTTTCGATGAAAGTTAATACCAGGAAATTTTTGGAAGACGGATTTGTGCCTGTACGGCCACCTTAATTCTTCTCTAGTACACGGTAGAAAGTAATGACCTTAACTGGGTAATTCTTAACCGTGTTAAAAGTCAATAACTCCTAACGGTTCTAGCAACACTAAACAGACAAACTGTTTTGGAATACATAACGAGTGTTGCAACATTTAAATTTAAATAAATATTAAAAGTTTATTATTTATTAGCATTAGCGTAATTTACCATATCTATTAACGATTATAACATCGATGAACAACGTAAATTCGATAATATTATATAATTTTTGTCCGGTTTTTTGGTATGTTTATACACTGCCAAATTTATATGTGATCGATTTCGCTATAATATTGTTAGCTATTAATATTAAAACAGCATAATTTCCAATACGAAACACAAAATTTAAATTTAATTTTGCTTGCTATACGAAACTTAATTCTAGACTGCGTGTTTTATTTTAGCGAATATAGTTTGTTTAAAATTATTTTAAAGGCAAAATATTACATCCAGTCACACAAAAAAAACAGTTTATTACATCATAATTTTTATTTCGTTTGTTTCCTTTTAATAAAAATTAGTTTTTTTTAAACGAACGTCAACATACGACAAAGTGACATAACCAATATACAATCAGTTTGATTTATACGGTATTTAGTTATTCATTTGTATGCACTGTATACGCTATCCGTTGCATACATTATTTTGTGTATTGAGCACTGGCCGAAAACAGTGCGTTATGCAACCTTACTCTGAGAAAGCGTGGCAAAGTCGTCAGTTTACGAGGATCATAACCAGTATTGTATGTGCACCGTGTAACTAGAAATGTGAACGAAACGTAATTTGCGTTTGACAGTTTTTCTTTACCGTGTTTTTTCTGTACCGTGGATTGTGTTACAATAGATGTAATGTTTGAATGCGTAACATAATTTCTCTAAGTTTATCTATTGATGTTTTGGTTACAAGTGCGTAAGACATTGTGTAATAAGTTAATAAGTAATTTTTCTGTTTGGTTTGTTTTTATTTATGAAATTACGTCATTGTAACTTGTGGGTTACAGTGGCATAATTTTATCGGCAATCTTTTTTCACCAGTTATATAAACCGATATTGAGATGAAATATTAACAATATGCACATATGTATTTCTAATACTTTAATAATAGCTTCCCTCTGTCGTACTCGTAAAATTATACATTAATTAAACATTAATTATAAAATGATTATTTATTTTTGCATAAATGGCATTACAGATTATTTTCTATATCGGGCAAAATAAGCATACAAAAGGCAAGTTTCATTCCTGAGACAAGATCGCTCCTAGAAGCCTGTGAACGCCCCAGGAGGCTTCTGCGCTTCTGGAAGGAGCTTGGTTGGCTCACATAACTAACCAATCCTCGACGCATAAAGGACCACTCTTGAGTCTAAATGCGGAAACCGAAGCCCACAACCAATACCAATACCAAAAATAAGCATACAAAGTTACATTATTAAATATTATATGGCCAGCTTAAGCAGTTAGCCAATCAAATCCATACATATAAAATTAATTAACCTAACTGACCGACTGATTCACTAACGCAAATCCTAAACCGCTTTTTATGCTGTAAGCGTAAATTGTACACTACAATAGCACTAAAAAGGTTTTTTTAAATTTTACTCCTAAGGCGGCAAATAAGGGATGAACGGTCGCATCCCCCCTCCCGCTGACTCAAACGCGAGGGACTCCAAGGGCGGCAACGCACTTGTGACTTTTGAGTTGCAGGTGTCCATGGGCTTAGTTGCTTACCCGTCTGCTGTTTGCCCCCTTATATCATGAACCTTAGAAACCCAAACAAAGAAATAATCACACGGGCAAGTGTTGTCTTGTTGGTTAACTCTCTACAATCGTAAGTTCAACCAACATTAGAGCATCAATTATTTAAGTGATATATTACTTTGTTCTATAATTTGTAATAGCATAGTGCAATACTAAAATCGTTTACTGCACACCAAAACCTAACTTTATATTTAATTTATGATGCTAGAGTAATAGTTTATGACAACGTCCGAATCAAAATATGCATTTGAAAGAAGTAATAATAATAACTTCACACGTCTCACACACACGGCCGTCTGATCACAAACTAGGCAGAGTCTGTGCTATGGTAACCAGACTGCTGATAAACATACTTATATATTTCTAAATAAATATATATAAACATGTAAATAAATAAAATTAAAGTGTATGTTTATAATGAAAAAATAATAGGTTTTTTCAGGCTCACACGGTTATTTGCACGATATCTATGCCTAAAAACCAGTTTAAACATTTTTTGTCTGTCTGTCTGTCTGTTTGTTCGGGTAGTCTTCAAAATAGCTGGACCAATTTTCAATTTTTTTATAATATTTTACTACCAGGTAGCTGTCTATATAAGAAGTAATTTAGGCTATTTTTCTCTCAGAAAAACCCACTAAAATTTTGCCCTGTCCGGAAATTGAACCCACTAAGAAAGCACTTTTCAAATTCCAGCGCCAACTAGTTTTAGAAAATTACACCCAGACACAGAACAAAATGATCATGATTATACTATAATAATAACACAATATTTGTCTGACTGCTACGTCAGGGGTCGTAGGTTCGATTCCCACCCAGGATAAATTATTGTGTGATGATCACGGTCATTTATTCTGTGTCTGGGTATACTTTATCTATAATATGTATATATTTAGAAATATATAAGTATGTTTATTAGCGGTTGGGTTACCATAGTACAGGCTCTACCTGGTTTGGGATCAGCCCGCATGTGTGAGATGTGTGAAAATATTATTTAGAAAAATAACGAACCCACTACCTCTGGATTAGCAATCAAAATCGCTAACCACTACACCCACAGGCCCGTCCGAATATATTAATTAAAATATATATCTCTTTCAAAAAAATGAATATTAAAACACTCAACCCAACGGAACTTTTAATTATGACGGATGAATAAAACATGAAAAATGAATTGGAAGAGTTCCAAGAACGTCAACGGCCAACAATGGGAGGTCTTTTTCAAACAATATGTGTCATGAATTAACAATTCAGATGTATATTGAATTTATCGCACGCACTATTGTTTGACATGCCATTGCCCCTAGGGCTAGGGCCCAGACTATTAAATTATCGTAGCAATCTAGAGACTTGAAGACTTCGATTCGTGCACAAGTCGTGTCAACGACTTGCTTATCGTCGGGCCAGTTCAGTCGGGCGACAACTGTTTGTTATGACTTTGACTTTGTTAGAACAAAAATTCACCTCATAAGTCTCGTAACAAATAAAATATTGGTTTTCATTTTGCCGTTGTCGTTTATCGTGAGGGTCTGGTTTGATTCCTTAGTTAGGAACATTGCTATTGGATTCTTTTTCCGTTAGATTAGGAGTCTATGACCATCTACTGTTGATGATGATAAATTCTTAATTTCTGTTACACTAAAGATAATCTGCCACTTTCCTTGACAACCCACTTGTAAAGAAATACAAACGATAAACTCCTTAAAATATATTTAATGGTTTTTGAGATCAAAGTAAACATACACTCATAACTCGACGTGTCGACGACGCGCCTGCAGAGCATTCAACTCAAAGATCAGACGCTGAAGGTTTGATACCCGTTCAAGGCAAATATTTGCATTAGTCTGTGTCTTTTTATGTATAATATGTGTGAAAAGGAGGTGAAAGTTTGTATAGGGAATCAATAAACGCTGAACCAATTTAGGTGAAATTTGGTATGAAGATACTTTGATTCTTGAGAAAAGACACTTTTTACCGCGATAACCGTCATTTACGCAGGCAGAACTGCGGGCAAAACTAGTACACATATACGTACACATATGTGTATGTGTTTACACTATACACATCAAATCCAAAAGACATTAAAATATCGGCAAGCTCAGCTTTCTCTTCTCTTCTTAAACCTTAAACTACTTCCTTATACAGTTGGCTTGCTTACTTTATTTAGTCACCATGGAAAAATTAAAGCGCCAAAAATAGTTTACCATAGCGTGAGATAAAAAAAGGTGACCGTTTAACCCAGAACTATGAGTTTAAAATAAAACAAAGACCGACTCAGCAGTGGGCCGCTGAGGTCACAGAGGTGGTCACTTAGCGCGTTCTATTTAACTTTCATTTTCCTAAACATTCCATTGTTTTGAGTTCAAGGCTAATACGCAGAGAGTTCGCTTCCTATGGTGTTTTAAAGATTAAAATAACTAATGTTTGCCCAGAGGTCGAAATTCAATCGTTGAATTTATTTTTTAACCAGCTGAGACCCGCGGTGTTACCCGTGTTTATTCTTATAACCGCCACGGGGCGAAGCTAGTCTAAAAAAAGTAGCCTAAGTTACTCCTTATGTCATCAGCTATCTGCCAGTGAAAGTCCCGTCAAAATCAGTCCAGCCGTTCCAGAGATTACCCGAACAAACAGACAGACAGACAGACAAAAATTGTAAAAAATGTTATATTGGCATATGTACCGTGTAAACATACATATGCATTTAGTAAAAAGCGTTTATTTTAATATTACAAACAGACACTCCAATTTTATTTATTTGTATAGATGTAGCGCGCAGAGTTTGTTGTTGGTAACACTGTTATGTTATCTATAATTATGGCCATTAAACAAATAAAAAAAATCGTTTGACAAATAGAGAAGAAAAAGGTTTTGGCTTTTTTTATTTTAGAATTAGCAGACTGTTTCTTTTCTTTAAAACATTACTCCTTTTAAAGAAAAGAAATAATCTCTTTTCGATTTTTTCACGTAAATTTAAAAATGCGCGGGGCAGAACAATGGCAACAAAAGTCATTATTTACAGGCCTTACAAATCTATGCAGAAACGATAAACATGCTTTGTTTGAAACTTACAATACATTTCTTTATTCATTTAATTATACATACCAAAAAAGCATATAATAATATTCCCATAAAATTTATCAATGTCATATCTTCATTAGATTTTTCCTATTATATTGTATTTCTGACAAAATAGTTGTGTGATCTGCACATATTTGTTTCGGAATTTGTATAATATGTATGTATTTAGAAAAAAGTATTTAAGTTTTCTATCAGTCAATCTAACTTTCATAGTACAAGCTCTGCTTAGTTTGAAACTAGATTTATAATATATTCCACCATATAACCGATAAAGAACGCCATACTTTTAATGGCATGTTTAGGACACCGTTAAAATGTGTCGAAATTAGATTCTACTAT